AATCTCCCTCACAAAATGGACCTTCTAGAGCTCATAAGTCAGTTCCCTCACTCTGAAGTTTAGGTGCCTCTCTACTAGATCTGCTCCCCCCTGGAGACAAATCCTAGAGAGTTACCCACACCCCACTTCAGGTCAGGTGCACCTAACTGAAATCCTTTTGCTCTGGTCACACTAGCCAAGGCTTTTTGGACAACTGGGCTACTGGACAACTCGTATCCCACACGCTGGCACCAGTTTTGTCGCGACCGCCACCTCCTCCTACGTCACCACAAGAGATGACAGGTCACGATCCTTCACACACACACACAGTACTTCTTCGCTGCCACCAACCACACATAAACCTGACACTTCAGACTTATTGTGGATTTAAAAATAAAAATGATCTTTTATTGATTACAGAAATAAAATGTAAATTACTGAGAAAAGGAATCACTTGTTATACTATATTAACAGACCTTCACCCTGCACAGTTCTTGGTTACTTAACACACAGTTATCTAACCTATATCTAACCCTCTCACGCTCCCACTCATTCCCCAACAACTACCCTCTTCCCTCTCTGCACACCCCCCTTATATACACAAACTCCACCCCTCTAAGACCCACCTCCTGCCCTGCCATAGGCCAGGAAACTCCAGCCTTAGCCAAGACAGGCAGGTGACGTCATGGCACACGTCACACCAGGTTTTTCCTGAAAGTATTCTAATCTGTCGAAGTTTAAATGGTGAAAAACATGACCGAGATTGGCTTGTCTGGAGTGAAGTTAAACAAGCATTATTTTGCTTTCCTTCTCGATTATTTTGGAACAACATTTGTTGCAGCATTAGCTCAGCATCTAAGTCTGTGCTTGCATCAACAAAAGGATGGTCAGCAACTAAAAAGTGGTGAAAATTATGTATTCGCATCCCAGAACATGAGAGAAGCAATAGTTATAGGCAGTGATATCTGGCTTGGCAAGAACTTGAAAGGTGCCTCTCATATAGCAAGTGCATTGACAGTCTATTGGAGGCATCAATTGAAACAGAATCTGCCAAGTGATACAACATTATGAAACGAATCATTAATGTTGTACTATTCCTCAGTGAAAGGGGCTTGCTTTGCATGGCAGTCCCCAGTGCATTGGTGAAAAAGACAATGGGAATTTTCAGGTCATAGAGTTGTTGTCTCATTGGGATCCAATTCTAAAAGAACATGTGTTGCAAGTTAAACAGTCACAAGAAAAGGGAGAGCAACTTCAAGTACATTATCTCAGTGCTGATTCCCAAAACAAGTTAATAGCTGAATGTTCCTCACTTGTAAAGCAACACATGTTGGAGGACAGGAAAACTGCAAAGTACTTTGCTATTACTGTTGATTGCATGCCAGATTCATCCCATGTTGAACAAGCAACATTTTTGGGTGTTATGTAATACCATACGAAAACCACTATGAAATTGTAGAAAGATTTTTAGTTTGTTGACACAAACCATAAAACATGGTATGACATAGCACAGATGATATTAGAAATATTGAAAGAACATGATATACCACTGTCGGACTGTTGTGTACGGGGCTATGACAATGCAGCCAACATGGCAGGAAAATATAAAAGTGTACAAGCAAGAATACTTGAGCAATGTGAACCAGCTTTATTTTCACCATGTGGATGCCACACACTTAATTTGTGTGGAAATGATGCCACAGAATGCATTCGTGAAGCCATAACATACTTTGGAACTGTACAAACTGTTTTCAACTTGTTTAGTTCTAGTCCACAACTATGGGAAATCTTGCAGAAGTGTATTGGCTGTTCTCTTCAAGGCATGTCTAACACACAATGGTCAGACGATGTCGATAGTATAAAGCCCTTTGTAGCCCACCTGCCAGGCATCAAATTAGCATTAGAAAACCTCTTGGAGTTGAACCTAAGCGTCAAAACAAGAACATAGATTAATGGAGTTTTGTCTTATGTCACATCCTTCATTTGTGTGATAATGTCTGTTGTATGATACAGAGTATTAGTTCCAGTTGATATCTGTAACAAGGTTATTCAGTCCAGAAATGCAATGCTGGATGTCGGAGTGTCCAAGTTTAAAAGCTTGATTTCAGAACTGACAGATCTTCAGAACAGCTAGAAAAGTATGTGGAGCGAAGCTAAGCATGTTGCTTCTAATTTGTGTCTAGAAGTGAAACTCTCTAGAACTCGGAGTCAGGGAGAAGCAAAATGCAAAATGGATGAATCCCCCGAAGAAGGATATTTCAGAAAGTCTGTCTTCTGTGTAATATTGGATAATGTTATTGAACTGACGGTTTCAATGCTGCAGTGAACATTTCTGAGAAGTTCAGCTTCCTCTGGAAGTACCTGTCAATTCCTCAAGATGAACTGAAAGAAAAATCAAAATTACTGGCAGATCAATATCCTGTTGATATCAGTGAAGATCTTGTAATGGAGATAAGTCATTTGCCATCTGTCCATCAAGCAAATTTTGGAGAGGGCCAACTGAGTCCATTGGAGCGACTGAATTGCTTGGAAAAGAAACAAGCTAGGACTCTTTCCAAATATATGTGTCTGCCTCCATATTCTGTTAATAATTCCTGCCACTGTCACCTTTGCAGAGCGCTCATTCAGCAAAATAAAGCTGATAAAAATTATCTAAGATCGACTAGGTCACAGGCGCAACTGGTAGATTTAGCAAGACAGTATTGAGTCTGGTCTTGCAAAAACAATTTTATTTATTTATTTATTTATTTAATTTATATGCCGCCCACTCTACCCAAAGGTCTCTGGGTGGATTACAACAATTAAAATTCAATTAAAATACAATAAAAGATAAAATGATTAAAATACAATTAAAATTGCAATTAGGACCCACAGTTGATGTTATTTCAATTAAAAGCCTTCAATTAAAATTGATATGATTTGCAATTTTGTCAGGAAAAAGGCTAGGAAAGCACCTTTGTTTAGCAGAATATAAATACCATTACATCTCAACTATAACTGTTATAAGCTTGTAATCTAGTATTAAATTCATTGCTTATGTATATTGTTTCATTATTGTTTATATACTAATGTGTACAGTATTATTGTTTTTATTATCTTTTACAGAAGTACCTGTACTCTTTTTAATATATTTGCAAGTATGTTTGAAGGTAATTAATAAATGTACAATTATGACATTATTTATGTGTCCATGTGTAGGTGAGGGGCCCATATATTAGTCTTGTTCCAGCACTTAGTAATCCTCTCAGGGGCCCTGGGTAGATACGCTTTGATTGTAGTATTCCTGTGTTGAGCAGGGCGCTGGACTTGATGGCCTTTGTAGACCCCTTCCAACTTCACTTTTCTATGATTCTATGAGACGACACTTTGAAATATTTCACATTACGTTCTGTTTCCATCATCTTTTTTGGGGGGCGGGGTGTATCTTGAGGAAAGGGCGCAATTTTAAAGCTACAGTAGAAACACAGCCAAAGAAAAACGAGGGCAGAAATGTTGTATTGAGAGGAACAGCTTAACTGCAGCCTGAGTTTTTTCAGATTACAATCCACTACTTCAGGAAGAGTCTGAACTCGGGGAAAACGCAACAGCAAGATAAATATATTAGTCTTAAACACAAATATAATATTTGTGTTTTTCTTGCAGATGCTTAAGCGGTTTAGCACGGCTGGCTCTTTGAAAGAGAAACAAGGACTTTTACATGTGTTTTAAAACTTCGCAAAAAGAGGAAAAAAGGAAAACATTTCTTTCTCCTCTAGGAGACTTGCCTATGGACAAGTTATTTCCTCTCTTTCTTGTTTAGGGTTGCCATAACAACCGCCTTGGGGGAAAAAAACCAACCACCTGCCCCACACCTGCGCCTCAAACGAGCGCTTGAGGGCGGCTCCACGAGGGACGTTTCCCTGGGCGGGGAGAAATCCTCTCATGGATACCTTACCAAGCCGTTCTTTAAGGCGACACTAGCTCCAGCCGCTGGGCCAGGCGGCCGCGACGGCCCTTGTCCCCCCTCTCCCACCCCACCCTTGTGGCTCTCGGTTTGTTGAGGCCCCCAAAGCGGGGCTCCCTTTCTCCTCCAGACCCTGTCTCTCGGCCGCCCGTCCTGCCCATCCTCTTTTCTCGCCTTGACCAGCAGGGGGCGCTGCGGGCGGAGGCCTTTTTTCGGATCTGGGCCGAAAAACTCGTTCTCCCGCCGAGGCTCCGACCAGCAACGGGTTGGGCCTACTTTGTTTCGGGGAGAGCGGGACCAGCGGCGCTTTGGCCGGATCGGTAGCGATGGAGATCGGCACCGAGATCAGCCGTAAAATCCGGGTGAGGCTGGCAGTGAGGGGGGGGCACGCTCAGAAAGGGCAGCCGGGCGGAGGGGGGGGCTAGGATTAAGGAATGACTCCCTCCCCCCCACCGTGGTGGGCCCAAGCTATGCCAGCCCAGACTGACGACCCGAAGGCGAGACGAAGGAGGTCCCTTTGCCTGAAGCTGGCAATGGGCAGAAGCGAATGGGCCTTCTCTGTGGCTCTCGGTCCTAAGTTCATTCGTAGCCGTCTCCTTCCTTTCCCCCGCTTTCATTCGGCCTATAGAAATTCATGGAGGCTTCCAGAGCCATAGAGAAGCATAGAAAGAAAATTATCCTGGCCTTTTTGCTTTTTGTATGTTTTATAGACCTCTGTGTGCACATTTTCCTAAATTTCCTACAGCCCCCTATATGAGATTGCCTCGTATTTCTTAAGAAATAGTTCTACCTCCCCTATCTCAAAAGTGTCAATAAGAAACTGGAGCGTGTTTCTTTTTATTTTTAGAAAACTAACTGACCCTCAGGCATATTGATGCACATATCTTCTGGAGAATGTCAGCTTTTCACTTGGCAATCTAAGTATGCACAAATGGGGTGTCAGGTGATGTCTGTAGGATGAGTAGCATGCAGAACACTTGTAAGTGTGCTTATTAATAAATTAAGTTATTCAGAAAGAAGCCTAGTTAAAAAGATTATCTTCCAACTATGAACATACGAAGATGGTTGCCTGCCCTTTGGTTCACTTAGCTAAGTTCTGTCTGCACAACTTTCAGCAGCTCTCCTGAGTTTATATAATGATGATGATGATGATGTGGATGTGCTGTCAAGTCACTTCTGAGTTATGGTGACCCTTTTCAGGGTTTTTTTAGGTAGAGAGTATTCAGACGTGGTTTACCATTTCCTTCTTCTGGGGGTGCCCTTGGAATGTGCAGCTTGCCCAAGGCCACACAGAATGGCTCTTCTCATAAGAGGCCCAGTGGGGAATCAAACTCCCAACCTCTGGCCCTGTAGCCAGAGACCCAAACCACTGAACTATCTGGTTATATAGGCCAGTGGTTCTTAACCTTTGTTACTCGGATGCTTTTGAACTGCAACTCCCAGAAACCCCAGTCAGGACAGCTGGTGGTGAAGGCTTCTGGGAATTGCAGTCCAAAACTCCTGAGTAACCCAAGGTTAAGAACCAGTGATATAGGCAAAGGTTTTTCCCCATTCTCTGCTTCAATACACTGGCGATTGGAACTGACATCTTCTGCGTGCAACGGATATACAGTACTGTATTGCTGAATGATAGCTCTTCTTCCTCAGTGTGTCAGTAACTGTGCATAGAATTACAACTACAGGATAATGATGGGAATCTGGTCAAGTTATTTTGATACTATGAAATTGGAAAACAGACTTGTAATCCATGGTAATTAGAGTCTGTTATTATAATAATCAGCATTGTCAGGTTTCCAAGGAGGTAGGATAAGTAAATTAAAATTAATACACTGTTAATATATTTCTACAAAACAGTTTTGCATTAATGTAAAAATAAGAAGACACTTGTTATTCTTTGGTTTTCAGAAGCTTCTTTGTTCACACATCTTTTAAACTCCAACCAAATCTGATTAATGATTGGGCAAACATTAGTGTAGCTACAAATATACAAGCAAATGCCATTCACAGTACTGTACATTGTTGTCATTATGCCATTCATGACACAATTCGTACTAAACAAAATTCCCAGAGCATGAGTTCATAAAAATTATGAACGGATGCAACTGCAATATATCTGTGGAAAATGAAATTAGAGGAAGAACATTATTAACACACATTTTTTGACTTTATAAGACAAAGTTCACATCACAGTGTGCTAATTTTGAGAGTAACTCCATCAGTAGAGACAGACCTTTGTAGAAATCTACAAAGTCAGCAAACCTCCAAGTCAAGTATATTTTTTCATTTCCCTTCACAATGTTGCAGCAACAGGAAAGGATGCATAGAACACTGGTTCTTAACTTTGGGCTACTCAGGAGTTTTGGACTGCAACTCCCAGAAGCCTTCACCACCAGCTGTGCTGACTGGGGTTTCTGGGAGTTACAGTTCAAAAGCATCCGAGTAACAAAGGTTAAGAACCACTGGCATAGAAGTTTCCCAAACTTCTGGATATAATTTTTTTATTTTCTGCTATTTCTGAAGGTATAGAATCTCTCTTACGTCCAAAATTGGCAGCTTAGTCATGGTAGAAATGAAGAGCTAAGGCACCACATGTCTTGTTTGTCAGTCACAGAGCAAGTAGTACAGTGTTTGAACAAATCTTCTGTTCCTTACTTTCATAATTTAGGCCCCCTAGTATCTGTTTTGTAGAATAAACTGCAGAAATCCTTTTTGCCTTGTTTGAAAATTAACATGTATATAAGTGGACCAAAGCGATAGAAATATCTCACAGAATAACATTCATTGGCAGTTTAGAAATGTATCGGCAGTTTAAAAATGTATCATATAACTGAACAGTTCGAAGGATTCACAGGAGCACACATATTAGTCATCCGTGAATCTGGAAAAAATGCTGCTGTTAAAAGTATGCATTTATTTCAAACTACCCCTCCAAAAAAGCAGCTGCCTATGCATGTTTGTTTAGGAGTAAGGCCATTGCATTATTCTTGGATAATTAATTATAGAATTCTGATCAAAATGTCATTGATGAAGTAAAATTTCTCAGTGTTGAAACTCATAGTTTTTAAAATGCTATATAGAATCATAGCAAAAACAATTAAACATATTCAGCTCAAAAGGAAGATTAAAAACAATTTTAAAAAATTAAAAATGTGCAAATTAATAAACAATGCATTCCTGAGACACTTACAGCTTAAAAGCCTGTGCTAAGAGGAAGGTATCCCGGCTTTCCATGTTCCTCACAATTGGCTGTGCCAGATAATGCTGTTGGGCGTTGCAATCCAACGGCATCTGGGGGGGCTCATTTCACTCACCTCTGTGCAGCTGAATGTCATCCTTACATTTGATAATTTTATTTTTTAAACCCATACTAGTAGTTCACATTTGGATGATTACAGTATGTTATCTTGGTTCATCTGTTCCCCCAAGAACGAAAACTGTATTCAAGCCCTTTTATTCCAGTGCTGTGCTACTTGCAAACTAACTAAACAGCACATTGTTCTCTTGTTTACTGCTACCTTCATTCTCCTTCCATTGTTTTCCATATATGTTGGATCTGAGGTTGTATGCTTCTAATGGCAGGAAGATGACCTCTTGTGCACACTAGTGGTATTATATATATAAATAAATAATTAAAAATGTTGTCATTTATATAAGTTATTCTCTTAAGAACAGACTCCTTTAAACCATAGGTTTTGGTCTGAAACTTTTAGAGCAACTTCAGACAACCTTCTGTTTAAAATTGTTTATTCTTAAGTGACTGTATTTTCCCATCTTTTCATTTAGAGTGCCATAAAGGGAAAGCTGCAGGAATTGGGAGCATATGTTGGTAAGTTTTGTAATAATTTTAGATTTAAAACTGTTCATTTGGTTGAAAAATAGTAAATCATCTTACAAAGCAATCCTACAAACATTATACACTTTGATCCTTTGTTTGATGTAAATTTATTGTTTCTCAGTCAGTTAACAAAGTAGAAGCTGAAAAATGCACTTTAATAGGAAGGAAATGAAACATATAAACTAAGACAGCAACAATAAATTGAAATAGGTATAAAGTCAAAACTGAATTGGTCTGTGGAGTTATGGGCCTGTCAAACGGGGAGGCAAGTGTAAGTGGCAGTCTGCTTGTATTGTACTGAAGTAGAACTCTTTATCTCTTAAAATATGTTGCCTATATTTAATACAAAAAAAGCAAAGTGTGCTGCTTATATTACCCCTCCCCCCCAGTGCTTCAAGCACTCTCTGGGTGGTTTACAAGTTAATTATGCAGGTTACACATTGCCCTCCCTCAGCGAGCTGGGTACTCATTTTACTGACCTCGGAAGGATAGAAGGGTGAGTCAACCTTGAGCCGGCTACCTGGGATTGAATGCAGCAGTTTAACCACTATGCCACAAGGCTTTTCTAATACACATGCTTAGGAATTTAGGAATCTGCTGTATTCAAGGCAAAATCCTGTTGCATAGCTACATAGGGTCTAACTCAGCTTTTTTGCCCATGGTAGCTACAGTAGCACCAAAGTGGAAGTGCTATCCACAAAGCACTTCTATTGGTGCATTGTGCACTAGTTACAATGGGAAATGTGTGACTGATTACACAATCACAATTGCGCAATTCCCTGTTGACAGGCATAAAACCAAGCACGTTTATGTTACCTGTACATAATTGTTACCTATACATAGTGCAGGATTTTGCATACTGTGTGAGATTGTTGTTCCATCTAGTCCAGTGTTGTCAACTTTAGCAGCAGCTCTCTAGAGTTTTAATTAGTATTTTTTCCCTAGGCTTACATGATGTTCCTTGATACCCCCTGGTGTTTCTCTTTTCTAGGTACTGAATAGGCTCATAACTGCTTAGCTTCCAAAATCAGATAAGAATAGTGGGTTCAGAGTGATAACAGTGGAATAAAATCATGTTGCATGTATTGTACCTTCTGAAATAAAGTGGTGCCCCGCATAACGGGTGCTCCATTTAACAACCAATCCGCATAGCGATGGGGTTTTTTGCGATTGTTTTTGCGATCACATTGCGATGTTTTAAATGGTAAAACATCGCTTTGCGGTGATCGGTAAGCTGCTTCGCTTACCGATTTTCGCATAGCGATGTTTTCCTAACAGCTGATCGGTGGTTCCAAAATGGCCACCAGGTTAAAAAACGGCCGCCCACAGTGTTTTCGCACCCATTCCTCGCTTACCGGGCAGCGAAAATGGCGGCCGTATGGAAGATTTTCGCAGAACGGTGAGTTTTTTGCACATAGGAACACATTAAACGTGTTTTAATGCATTCCTATGGGCTTTTTTGTTCCGCATAGTGACGAATCCGTATAGCGACGATTTTTCCAGAACGGATTATCGTCGTTATGTGAGGCACCACTGTAATTATAATAAACCTGGAAGAAACATTCTCATTAGCATTTTGGAGAGTTGTGCGTTTTAAATATGAAGTGTAATGGATAACTCAGTGGTTGCTCTTAAAACATAATACAGTGGTGCCTCGACTTACGACCGTAATCCGTTCCAGAAGATGGACGTAACTTGAAATGGTCGTAAGTCGAAGCACCATTTCCCATTGAAATGCATTGGAACGCGATTAATCTGTTCCAGAAGAACAACCTCCCCCAAAAAAAATACAATAAAAATAAAGGACTGCAAGCCCCATATGAATGCTCTGGGGCTTTAAAAAAATCCAACCCCAAAATAAACAATGGAGCAGGCCCCACAACCACACCACCCAGCCCAAACCCACCCAGAACAGGCAGTTTCTGAAAAGCAGAAAGCAGCACCTTGCCTTACCAGGCAGTCCAAAGCCTCCTCCAACACACTAACTCCAACCGTTGGGGCAAAAGAGCTATAAAGAAGCAGCCTCTTCACCTACCAACGGTTAACAAATTTGAATTCCCTGCCTGCAAGGGAAATATGCAAGACCCATCAGAAATGGGGGGAGAAAACCCAAAAAGCAACTAAACCCCCAAGACCCATAGGAAATGGGAAAACAGGCAGTCCAAAGCCTCCTCCAACACACTAACTCCAACCGTTGGGGCAAAAGAGCTATAAAGAAGCAGCCTCTTCACCTACCAACGGTTAACAAATTTGAATTCCCTGCCTGCAAGGGAAATATGCAAGACCCATCAGAAATGGGGGGAGAAAACCCAAAAAGCAACTAAACCCCCAAGACCCATAGGAAATGGGAAAACAAAAACAAACAACCCTTCCAGACCCATCGGAAATGGGGAAAAACACTCCAAAAAGCAACCATACCCCCCAAGATCCATAGGAAATGGGGAAAACAAAAAACAACTCTTCCAGACCCATCGGAAATGGGGAAAAACACTCCAAAAAGCAACCAAACCCCTCAAGACCCATAAGAAATGGGGAAAAACACTCCAAAAAGCAACCAACCCCCCCAAGACCCATAGGAAATGGGGAAAACAAAAACAACCCCCCAAGACCCATTGGAAACGGGGGGAAAACTCCAAA